TTTGTTAAAACAAGCTGAAAGTTCTTTGAATCATTCAAATCGGACGCTTCGTTCTCTTAAAAACTGCAATTTTTTGCACATTTAGCTATGTATCTCCGAAACCGCTGGATCTGCCTTTGCCAGAAACTAATAATCACTTCTCCCAATGATTACTAATTGAATGTTTTTTAAATCATTCAAATCGGATACTCCGTTCTCTCAAAAAGTCGATTTCTATTTTCTGCACTCTTTGCTTTGTATCTCCGAAACGGCTGTACCTGCCTTCGCCAAAAACTAATCAGCTCTTTTCCCTATCAAAAGGAATCGAAAGTTTTTTGAACCATTCAAATCGGTTGATCCGTGCGCCCTAAAACGTGACTGGAAATTTGTATCCATACATACATACACACACACAGACATCCATTTTTTCTGAGGTATGCCAAAACGTTCAGAAACCTTCAAAACGTCGAGAAATGTAAAAATTTCAATTTCGATTTTCGGCCCATTACAAAACTTACGCTACGGGAAGTTAAAAATGGTTCAATAGATTGACGATTGTTTTTTTTTATTTTCTAGTAACATCTGTTTAAATATTTTGCTCACACATTCTCCTTGAAATGTGCTACTTTATCATCAGTTCATACAATTTTATAATATATGTACATACGCGCAAACCGCTAATTAAGGTAGGTCAGTAAGTAGTCGGTTTGAATATCGGCAAGAGTGCGAGTAAACAAATGTCTAGTAAACATATTATGAAATTAATTATCGAAATCTTAATCTATATCACTTACAGGCTCAAATATGCTCCTCGTAAAGAAGGCATAGCTCTTCTCCTTTGGATAGGAGGGGACAGTGATAGCGAAAGGGACTGGTTAAGGGCGATTTGTTGACTCCTAGAATATATCCTAGGTGTCTTCTCCTTTGACTGTTCAAAGCAGTTATCGTTTGCGGCAATTTGCGATGATTTATTTGTAAATTCCACTGGTAACACGGGCGCCAGTTTGCAGTGTCTCCGCACAGGTAGAGAATCGATCCGTAAAAATCTACCAAGCACATAATTTGATGTTATGATGAAAGTATGTCTGAGGAAATTACTGGACATCTAAATTTTAGACTCATATCAAGGAATACAAAAACTTTTGGCGATGTATAAACAAGATGATTCATGTTACATGAATAATTTAAATAATTGATTTATAGAGACATTGTTTGGGATCACTTTTCACTTGGACAATTTTGACATATAATTGCAATTCACTTGTTATTTTGATTAAACTTGTATATGAGTGAATTTTGTTACATGAACAAATGGCGCCCGTACGAATGACAGTAAGATAACATTTAAGATCGCGCATGGCATAAAGTATCTCTACATCTGTCAGTGAGTGATGAACATAAAACGGCTCCGGACCGTATTTACGTTCATTTGCTTTATTCTTTGTAAAGAATAGAGCAGATGAACTCATTGAATATTTATTTAATTACCTTAAATATTCTGTATTCAATGCTTGAATTAGTACTATTTTTTTGTAAAGAATAGAGCAGATGAACTCATTGAATATTTATTTAATTACCTTAAATATTCTGTATTCAATGCTTGAATTAGTACTATTTTCTAAATCCATCACATGAATATACATAAATAACTCACTGCTTATTATTTATTTTTACATCTAAAACAATAGACTAATGATAAAAAAACACCAACAAAAGCACACAAAAACTAATGATATAACCTAAGTCTGTTTTTACACGGTAGATTGGTTCCAGAAAAAGCCGTGTAAAAAAAAAGGGGAGAAAAAAGACATTGATCTTATACAAAAAGGGTGTGATTTGTTCCTAATCTCTAAAACATATTAAAATTAGAATAATTTTCAAGAACAAGAATCATGTTTATTTTTATAATAATTCCCCTAAATTAGTGCTATTCACATTTGCTTTGACCAGTAAAAAATGTTTGTACGCGCTAAATTCACTTAAATCTTAATTCAAACCGTGTTGTATATCAAAACCGTGTACAAAAAGGACCGTGTAAAACAGACTAAAGTGTACTGAAATTACTACGATTTCTCAACTTTCTACTAATACTACCTATTATTGAATTACTACAATTACTTTTAGTACTAAAAATATAACAAATATAATGTACAAAAATATAAATAACTCACTTCTTATCAAGTTCATCGAAATTTTGCGTCTAAAACAGCATGCTAATAGTAGGAAAACACCATTGAAAGAATACAGAATATTGTATAATGCTATGAAAAATCTGTATTAAATGCTTGAATTAGTACATTGTTATTAACTGATAAATATTATCAGCTCAAAATATAACATATGTTAAAACGCAAGATATAAATAATCACTTTTAATAAAATTCAGCGAAAATTTGTGCATCTAATGTCCGGCGAATCAGCCCGGCGAATCTGTTTGCAAAGTGCGCAGACAAAATTATTCTAAACAAAAGCAAACCACGCGCACGTTGCGAGCAAGATTCGCCGTGCGCGTTCGTCCAATGAAATTCACCATAAACAAAAGACTAATGATAAAAAAACACAATTGAAATACAGAATCTAATGAAAATTGTATTGAATGCTTTAATTGGTACTGTTGTTCAAATCCATTAGCCGCTGAATAGAATTTAGCACTCAAAACATTTAATATGCAAGATATAATAACTTACTTCTTACTAAAATTTTAGCGAAAATTTGTACATCTAAAACAACTGGCTAATGATAAAAAAGCACCATTGAAAGAACACAGAATTTAATGATACTTTGCACAAATTATATTAAACGCTTTAATTAGTACTATTGTTCAAGACGTACTTGATAAATATCATTCAGCTCAAAATATAAGCTAATATATATAATAAACAAGATATAAATAACTCACTTCTTATTAAAATTTCTGCAAAACTTTGTACGTCTAATGGCTCGTCTTAATTCCACGAATCCGTACAGCGAATCTGTTCGCAAAGTGCGCAGACAAAATTATTGTAAACAAAAGCAAACCACGCGCACGCTGCAAACAAGATTCGCCGTGCGCGTTCGTCCAATGAAAACTCACCATGAAACAAAAGACTAATGATAAAAAACACAATTGAAATACAGAATCTAATGAATAAATTGTATTGAATGCTTTAATTGGTACTGTTGTTCAAATCCATTAGCCGCTGAATAGAATTTAGTACTCAAAACATTTAATATGCAAGATATAATAACTTACTTCTTATTAAAATTTTAGCGAAAATTTGTACATCTAAAACAACTGGCTAATGATAAAAAAGCATCATTGAAAGAACACAGAATTTAATGATACTTTGCACAAATTATATTGAATGCTTTAATTAGTACTATTGTTCAAAGCGTACCTGATAAATATCTTTCAGCTCAAAATATAAGCTAATGTATAAAATACATAAGATATAAATAACTCACTTCTTATTAAAATTTGCGAAAATTTTACTAATGACTCGTCTTCTATGCACAGACAAAATATTGTAAACAAAGCAAACACGCGCACGTTGCGAGTAAGATTCGCCCGTGCGCGTTCGTCCAATGAGAACGCACCATAATAAAAATGACTAATGATAAAAAAACAATTGAAAAAAAACTTTGAACAAATTGTATTAAATGCTTTAATTAGTACTGTTGTTCATAACCATTAGCCGCTGATACAATTTAGTACTCGAAAACATTTAATATGCAATATATAATAACTTATTTCTTATTAAAATTTCAGCAAAATTTGTACGTCTAAAAGAACTGACTAATGATAAGAAAAGCACCATTGAAAAAACACAATCTAATCATAGTTTGAACAAATTGTATTAAATGCTTTAATTGGTACTATGGTTCAAAACGTACCTGATAAATATCATTCAGCTCAAAATATAAGCTAATATATGTAGTACACAAGATATAAATAACTCACTTCTTATTAAATTTGCGAAATTTTTTACATCCAATGACTCGTCTTCTATGCACAGACAAAATATTGCAAACAAAAGCAAATCGCGCGCACGTTGCGAACAGGATTCGCCAATGTTCGTCCATGAGACCGCACCATAAAACAAATGACTAATAATGAAAAACACAATTGAAAGAACAGAGAATCTAATGAACAAATTGTATTAAATGCTTTAATTAGAACTGTTGTTCAAAATCATTAGCTGCGAATACAATTTAGTACTCAAAATATATAATATGCAAGATATAACTTACTTTTGAATAAAATTTCAGCAAAATTTTGTATTCTAAACACATACAAATGATCAAAAAAAACATCAATGAAAACTGATATGATAATTCTAAAGTTCATTTGTTTATACTTGATCATGAAACACTTCAGAACGACTTCTATTACATATAAGTATTTGGAACTATCTATGTATCTATGCAACTATCTAGTATGTTTATTTATCTATGTATCTTTTACCACGTTCATAACGTGGGTAGCCTAGACAATATAATAATATGGGTAGAATATGCATATTATACTAAAATGACAGTTCTCAAAATCAGATTTTAGGCTTAGATGATTTATAAACTGGCGGAACTTCTTGTTCAATATTTATAATAAATGTAGAGACTTGAAAGATAATAAAATGAATAAATTTTGCATAGTTTTTATACTACAAACTGTTTTCATTATGAATGACACTATTCATTTCATAACCGGTATAAGGACATTTTTCGCCTTTGCCTTCAATGCTTTATATGTTTTGCTCTACTTCCATATCCAACATGGCGCTTGTGAAAAATGTTTTATTTACTGGAGAGGCTCTATTTTCCATGTCTTAATCATTATAGTTCGTTATGTAGTATAACAATAATTCAATAATTTATATAAGCAACTATTTTTAAGTAATTTATGAAAATGTCATCTGAAGGTATTTAAACTTTATTTTATATATCCTTATTACAATCGATACCCGATAAAAATTGTCACCCGTTTGGGCGTGACAATTTCATTTAAATTCATTATAATATGCTTGCTTTGGATTTTTTTTTAGAATGGAGTGGGTTGAAATAATTGAACCAAGAACTAAGGAACATATGTACGCAAATCTGACAACGGGAGAATGTGTTTGGGATCCTCCAGAAGTAAGACAAAGTGCTACAAAATTATGATTTGCCCATAACTTTCGAATTTTGTGAATATGTTTTCGATAGTGTGTCAAAGACTTTGGGTCTCCTTTTGTGCATTGTGATTTTATTTAAAAATTTGTGCTTTTATAAATATCATTTTGGAGAGAAAGTACTTATTCAAGTTTATACTAAATGTAATCAGGCAGAGAGTGAAAGTTATGCTACTAACAGTTGCAAATATTAATATTGATACATTTTTATGATTCTGAAGACAGAATTTTAAAAATAGAGCTTTTCTCTATAATTTATGTCAATGTGATTTTACATAGCAATTGTTTGATAGTTCAATAGAGAAGTGTCTGTCTGACTATCATTATACAAGATTTAGCTGTAATACTTGGTTATTTTTAGCTAATGAAACAAACTACAGATTTTCATATAAAATATAGTATTTTAATCTCCCAAGAATGTTTATTTGTAAAAATTCAACTTCATTACAACGATAAAATGAAATATAGAGTAAAAGCTTATTATATTTTTTAGGGTGTGAATGTGAAACGAACAGATAGTTCGCAGTGGTGGGAATTGTTTGATGTACATACTAGTCGATTTTATTATTACAATGCCGCTTCACAAAGCACCGTGTGGCATAGGCTATGAATTGCGACATCATACCTCTTGCCAAGCTACAAACATTGAAACAAAATACTGATCCTTGTGAAAAACATGACAGCACAACACATAATTCAAAAGCCCTTTTACAGGTAGTATATCTAAAAATAATTAAAATTTATATATATATATATATATATATATATATTTATATATGAACATATATTCATAGATTCTCAACGGGATCAAAAATGTAGCACCAGTGCTATGAAGACAGATGCACAACAACAACTCGTTCAAGCGTTGATTCGAATTGTGAAATGCTTACAAGTCCATCAGGCTACAACAGGTAATAATGTAAAACTTAATTAACTTATAAAAATACATCTTTTTGGAAAGAAATTATGAATTGCCTAAAAGATGAACAATGTTTATTACATGTGTTACACAAAAATTCATATGGTGTGGAATTCATGTAGTTATTATGATGTATTTTATCCATACTGAGGACAGTAGGTATAGAAGTTTTTAAAGAAAGGATCACAGAACATCAGGATTAGATTTGGTTATTAATGTTCTAGCTTCATGTTAAACCAATATCACTTTTATGATGAATTTAGAATTTAGAATCTATATTTCAGTGACATTAGTATTAATTAATTCATATATTAGTCACATTAGTATAATAAATTATAAAAATTAATATTGGAAAGGTTTTCTCAAAACAATTCATGTATAAATAATCTTTAATAAAACTTAAATTATTTAGAGATCGTGTCACACCTGATGGTACTCGTGCAAGTGGATCTGAAAAAAGTTCACATAGGTATTGCAAACATGGTCATTCACATGTTGGACATTCAGGTCACAAACATACAGATAGCGGCAGATCTAGTGATTCCAGTTTATCTAGTGCACATGGCTATAGGCGATTACAAGAGTCTAGCCACTTACGTGTTTCATCAGGGGCATCATCATCACAAAGACATCGTGGACAATCAGATACTGGGTAATATTTCTTTGTCATAAGAATTTATTTTGAAAAGTATTGAAATTCCAGTTAACAGTTATACATAAATATGTAATTATTTGATTTATTATACAATTAGAAAATTATTCATAAAAAAAATTAAGAAAACAAACTCAGTATCTAAGTTTTTTTTTTATTATAAAATATATCATTATTATGAAATATTTCATCAAAATTCTTTTTAGCTATAGAATGCTACAAGAAAGTTCAAGTTCAAATAATTTACCCGCATTTAAATATGAGCCTCTTATCCACAGCATTTAAATATGAGCCTCTTATCCACAGTGGACCCCCACATTCTGCAAGTACTCCACAACTCAAAAAGAAACATGCCAGTGGTAGCTATGTGCAAGGAATAACCATAAGGAATCTTATAAAAGACCAGTATAAAATGCAAATATAGGTAATCCTATAATTTTAATATAGTCAGAGCTAAAAAATAACTCAATGTATTGTTTAAACAATCTCTAGATTTTAATATTCTAGAGATACTACTATTATCCTTATTGAATATGAAAAGCAATTGCATCTTATTAACAATTTACAGGTCCAATCAAATGCCTTTGGCGCGATCTGGTAGTTTCATGTCTTCGAGAGTTGATAACAGTGATGATTCAATGCATGAGAAATATTTTAAATCTGTTGAAAATACTCCTGTAAGCCGTAGAAGAAGCACAAAAACTTCCAACCAGAGTTCTAGTGATTCTAGTCCACATAGTCCTGATCACAATAAAATTAATAGGTAATCTTTTTTTCCACACTATGTTTGTATATATTATAGATACCAGATAACTATGCCACAATACTACTAGGGGCAGATTAAAAGACCTTTCTTTTAATTCTACAGATTAACTTGTTTATTTTCAAGACCGGCATAAAAATTACTATATAATATATATATATAGATAGATAGATAGATACTTTATACAAATTCAATATTTACAATTTAAGTCAATACAATTATATGTATATATATATATATATATATATATATATATATATATTTATAATACTAAAATTGTTTATTTTTGAATTGAAAAAACTGTTATTGTTTGAATTTTTCAGGCATGTCTCCCACATAGAAAATCAATTTGCAGCTAAAGGAGGAGAACATAAATGTAACCAGATAACAAAACCAAACCGTCCTAGTCTAGTCAGTTCTATATCCCTTGCCACTGAATCTCTGTGCCAACCTGTCAAGTCGAATATTAATAGTATAGACCGACTCAATTATGGGATAGATAAATACAACATTAAATGTTCCAGTAATAAACATAATTCAGATGTTACCAGTAGGTACTTCCATGACAAAAACATTGATATTGAAAATGTTGAAAAACAATCGAAATATTTAGATAAATTTAACTTTGATGATAAAACTGGTGCTAAAACTTCATATTCTTTAGATAGAGATGCATCAAGTTCTGATGCTGATTATTTTAAATATTCTTCCAATTCACGTAACAAAACAAAGTCTGATGTAGAAACATTTAGTAAGATAAAGCATAACTCAGCTCCTGAAGGTTATAGACAGCAGAGTCAAAAAACTGCATCAGATAATTATTTGTCAAAAATTAGTTCAGGACCATATCTCAGTAAACCAAATTTAGAAAAGCACAACTTAGAATACTCAAAAAGTGATAAGAAAAATAAGGAAAAAAATACAATACAATCTAAACTTGAATTAGATGTTAAGGTAGATGGAAGTAAACAGAAATATACCATTGAGCATGATAATGGTAATAATACATCACCATTGTACTCCAATTGGGACTTAGAAATGCAAGAACACTTATTGCCTTTGCAACATTATATATTAGAGCAAGCTAAATTATCAGGTAAATAGGATCAATTATTTTTAACATACATTCAGTACTTAATAAAAGCTAACAGTTAATTTTTATTAACATTATCAAATGGTATTTATAATAACAACAAATATATCACAGGTTATTCATACAGTGCGGGTGATCCTTTAGATAGTGACTCCTTACATTCAGATAGTCAATCAGAAGAATCACTTAGTGGTCATGAACCCGATAATGAAGATTCAGATCATTCTGGCAGCAATGATGATTATTTAACACATCACTACAGTTCTGCACAAGGTAATAAATATTATTAATTTAATATGATAAAGTTATTAAACTTGATTCATTTATATTTTTAGATTATGGTGCCCATAGTGTTGCATACTACAATACTACTCTGCAAATATCAGATTCCAAACATGACGATAACTCAAGCAAACAACCTATTTCCGAAAATAAATTGGAACCCGAGCTTACAAGGCTCTCAATAGATACAGATTCTTTGGATGCAGTAACTTTATCTCAAGAACAAGCACTATATAGTCCTGTTCAAGCGCTTTCGAAACCAACAGCTATTAATATTAGTTCATTACCAGTAAAAGAGTGCGATATAGAACAATTTGCTCATGACAATCTGAATTTACATGCAAAAGGCATATTCAGGAAAAAGGTAAGCAGTTTTTTAGTAGGTGGGCCTTATTTAAAAATTGGCTAGTTTTAGTAACATTGCTGCAACTGTATAATGTGAGAAAAGCTACAATCACAATCCTGTTAGATGTTGAGCATCCGTGGCACAGTCTTGTCGTAGTAGTCAATTCAAACATGTATCTCACCTTCAAAAGTTTATTTTGAGGGTCGTTTTGTCATGTTTTTTGGGGACTTATATATTGTTATTTGTAATTATTTCTATTGAAGTCAACAATTTTATTGCATTTTTGTTCACATTTGGGGAAAATGACAAAATACTATTTTGCAAGAACTACAGGCTACTTCTTTTCGGGGCTAAAAGGAAAGACAATTGAAACTAGTAAAGAGTGATTGAACTAACTTTTACTATAACTACTTTTAAGGACAGACCAAAAGATCCACCTATAATAAGAAGAGACTTGCATTTTTTTCAAAGACCTAGTTTCACATTCAGAGCTTTTTAATAGTTAGTTATGATGTGTAATTTGTTCCCTTTGTAATCATGCTTCATGTGCTGATGTCTCAAAGAGAAACAAAAGCAATGAATGGTCTTCTTTAAAATTTGCATCTCACTGTTTTTACCTTATTTGTCATTTTGTCCATAATATATATATATGTACAAAATGGTATTTGTAATTGGTTGCATTTTTCCTTATTATAGTTCATGCTTAATTAAAAGTCTATGTTACTGGTACTCAATAAAATTAAGATGAGTAAAAACGATTACAGTATCATTAAATAAATAAATAACATTAAAAAGCAAAATGCCATGGCATTTTGTCCATACTTCTATACAAAATCCGAAACTTTTATTTTAAATTTTTATTCATTACTTTCTTTTGTATTTTTTAATATCAATTACAAACTTTATAATTGTTTCAGTCAAGTGTTCGTGATATGTTGAGTTGGACAGGAAATGCTATAAGCAGACCGATGTTGGCACTTTCTAGAGATAAAATAGCAAAGAAGGATGCAATTGAATTATTTAAACGTGTACAAATTTATATGGGTGATCGAAAAGCTAGGCCTGGTATGACATTAAATTCGGTCGCAATGGAAATTATTGCTACTGCTTTTGGTAATCCAGCGTGAGTAAAAAAAACTATTTTAAAAATTATTATTGATATGAAAATTGTTCTATTCTAATTATAAACATATTATTAGATTCTGTTGATATATATATATATATATATATATATATATATATATATATCATCTGACCCCTTACACAAGAAATAGGTTCCATAAAAAATTGTCAACTCAAAAAATTCACTTTTATATGAAAAAAACGTGCTAAACGAAAATCACTATAAAAAACCCTTTTTGTCAGTTCCCTATATTTTTCATTGCAACATTTCTACAATGAGAAATTGTAGACATTCCAACAGATGCACTTTTTCCAATTGAGTCTTAGTTTTTTTGATTGTTTTCATTGTAACTAATTTTTTTTATTGAATAAAAAATGCAACATCCATTGTTCTTTCATTATTACAGACACCTTTAAAAATTTCAATTTTGGTTTTTAAAGATAAAACTTTTCTTTTTTTCTCTAGTTTTTTATTTTTATCTTTTGCCATTGATGAACTATAATTTTTTTTATAAATTATAGATTTTGTAAAAAATAATTGTTATTTGCTCACCTTGAATAAATTTACACTATCAATTATATATAAAAACTAATTAAAAACTAAGTTTAAAAACATTGACGCTCTTTGTTTTGGTATCTAAACAAACCAGCTTATACACATATAAATTTAGTTTCAATCATAAAAAGGGGAGTTTCCATCTTATCTACATATTTCCATTATAGACATAAACTACTAAGAATTTGTAACTGAAACATATATTTTGTAGTGTTGTATTTTGACAGTAAAACATTGAAAAAGTCATTGTAGATATAAAAAAATTATAGCTTAGTATTTATAATTTCGTGCAAATAAATAAAATAAATTATTTTCAAAATCCTTGCAAGATTGAAAAAGTGTAAAACGAATATTGTTCAAAGCGGGAGATAGGTGTACAAATTAATGTGGATAATATACAATGTAATATAATATAATATTATATATAATAAGTATGTAATGTTAACAAAGTTAACACTTAATAAAGTTACTTAATAATCTACTATTAATTATTAACAATGTCTGTAACTTTTAATAAATAATCATTTACTATCAGATTACGAGATGAATTATATGTGCAATTGTGCCGTCAAACTACAGAGAATCCTCAGAGGGACTCCTTGCTTCGTGGTTGGGAATTACTAGCCATTTGTTTATCTTTTATACCCCCATCGTCAACATTTCAAGCTGCTTTACTTGGTTACATGAATAGGCATAGAGATCCAGCTTTTGCTACTAGTTTTCCAGAAGTATGATTCTTTTTTATATCATGTACTTATATTTTGTAATTTTGTATTTATAATAATTTTGACTTATGACTTATTTCTGCTAGGTTGGAAAGTGGCCCATACATGTTCAAGTATCACATTATGCAACTGTTGCTTGTAATAGGTTGGAAAGAATTGGTTGTGCGGGTAAGAAACAAGCACGTAGAGCATCATCTGATGAAATTGATCAGTCACGGGTAAGAAAAACTTAAATTATATTTTTTTTATAGTAACGTTTAGATTTTCAATTTTTTTATGAAAATTATAGTCATTTTCATGCTTTTCAAATTCCAAACAAAAAATATAATTAGGGCAATGCAATAAAATTTTAAAATGTTTTAAAAATAATTTTATTAACCAATTTTATTTAGTAGTTGATCAAACATTTATGTTGATCACATTGATTTTGTGATGTCTAGGATCAAAATATCGAATTATTTCAAGAGCATTAGTTTTTTTTTGACAATAAGTAAGGTCATTTTCATACTTTTGAAATTTCAAATAAAATAATGATTATGGGGAAGCAAAAAAAAATTACCTCTTACAAAATAATTTTATCAACTTCTATATATTTATTTATTTATTTAATTATTTATTTATTTTACAAGCCGTCAGTATAATGATATTATAATAAGGCTCAAGTCAATTTTTAGCAGATTTAATACAATTTAAATGACTCGTATTTACTATAAACTTATTTATATTTAGTTGATTCTAATTATTTTTAAATATAGATAAACTAATTATTTTTAAATATATTAATAAGCTTCACATTACTTTTATAATATAATTATTTTGTTTAAGAAATTTTAGGTTATTTTATGATATTTTAACAAATTTATAAGTGTCTTATATTATAATTGTTATTATTAATATTTTTTTACAAACAATGTGATAAGTATTTTTACAATATAAGTATTTTTTTTTACAAATTTTTAGGTATTTTATGAAAAAAATATTTTGTTTCTGAATTTTTTAAGTGTTTTAAAATTATAAGTTTTTAGTTATATAATTAATACGTATTTTAACAATAATAGTTATATAAAAATTGTAATTATAAAAATAGTAATAATAAGAGTAATTTAGAAGTATTTTTGCAACAGAAGTATTTAGTTAGAGAATCCGGTTTACTAATTTTAAGTTTTTTTGACATTCCAAGTCAAATTCTTTCGTCGACGTTTTCTCAAAAATCGACTGCACTGATTTTATGTTTTAGTTTTGCAAGTGATCGCCATAGCCGTTTTTTTTAGGATGTCAAAAAAGTTCAAAATTTTTGCGCAGCGTTTTCGCAAAAATTTTCAACCGATTTTGAAAATTCAAAATTCCTTCCAAAGATTAGTTTTTGGTAAAGATCTGTTGGGAGGTTTCTTTGTTGAAACTGTTGAAAGAAAGTTTTTTTGACGATTTTTGTAAAGCTTTGTGCGACGACTGATTTCATGGTCTGAAATAACATGCTAAATTATAGACCTAAAATAATTGGTTGAATTATAAAAACTCATCAAAATTTGGAGTTAGAACTGCTAATTATCATTTACGTTCACACTCCAGTAAAATATATTTTTAGAAAACGAAGTATAATAAAATGTGTTAAATAAAATAATTTAATTTACACAATTGTAGATAATTATTATTTGTTTGTGAACATTTGTAATATTAATAGAATATCGCATTGATTAGGTTTTAGTATGCAAAATACTAAACTCACAACAATTTTTTAATCATGCATTTACATTGTTTATTGAAAACTTGATTTTTTCAGTTACAAATATTTCACCCATCAATGTTCGGAAACACACTGGCTGAAGTTATGGAGTTACAAAAGCTTAAATTCCCTCACAAAAAATTACCCTGGGTTCAAGTTGCTTTATCTGAACAAGTAAGAGATTTACTTTATCATAGTGTATTTTGTTTATCATAGTTAAAATTTCATTAAATATACTTAAATATTTTTAAGATATAACTTTTATAATATGACTTTTTTATTCTAGGTTTTACGATTGAATGGCTTTCAAACAGAAGGTATATTCAGAGTATCAGCTGATGTAGATGAAGTAAATACGTTGAAAAGCAAATTAGATAAATGGGAGTTACCAGAATTAAGCAGTAGTATGGGTCAGTTTGTTTCCATTTTTGGCCAAAGATTCTAACTTTTGAACAATCAATAATATTTTGTATTAAATTTTAAGATGCCCATGCTCCAGCAAGCTTACTAAAACTTTGGTACAGGGAATTGTATGAGCCTCTCATACCTGATGTTTTGTATAATGAATGTGTCACTACTGAAACGCCACAACATGCTAATGATATAGTAAACAGATTACCTGCATTAAACCGAGTGGTAAGCAACTAATTATTTATTTAAATGACCGACATAGTGACTTTCAGCCTTATTGTTTTAATTATTATAGCGCAAAATTATTTTTTCTAACAATAATTTGATAAATACTCAACTAAATTTATTATAAACAAACTCTACAAAAGTATCAAACTGTATTAAAATGTGATCGATTATAAATTACAAAGTTCATTAATATTTAGCTTTATACTTTTGTTCAGAGTTTATATTTGTTAAATTAAATTCTACAATCGTGATTAAATTCCTTTTTCAAAGTTATCTATATATTTTTTTTATTGATATTATAAATAGCAATCAAAATTATACAATTTTATAGGCTAGTAGCATATGATTAAAATAAAGCTGATAATATTATTAAAATATATATATATAAAATAATTATCTGTTTGTTTTTATTTATATTCGAATTTAATATTTTGGAAACGCCCCCCTGAGGAGGCGCGCCCCACGAGTTGTAATTCACTGGACTAATATGTTGAAAGCATTTGTAGCAGTAATATTATTATATAATATTTATTTTATAGGTTCTTATATATTTGGTCCATTTTTTGCAACTATTCTCTCAACCTGACGTTGTGGCAAGTACGAAAATGGACTCAGCAAATTTGGCCATGGTGTTTGCTCCCAATTGTTTGAGATGCACATCATCTGATCCTCGAATAATATTAGAAAATGCCAGAAAGGAAATGGCTTTTATGCGCATGCTAATACAGCATTTGGATACTAGTGAAGTTAAAGATGTAACATAATTAGCACTCTTATTATTTATTTATATACTATTTTATTGACATCAATATACCAAAGAATATGACGTCATATTGCAACATTTGCTCTCAAATAATATTTACACTTAGTTATGTAAGAAAATGTTAATGTATCTGATCGCTTTGTGATATATTAATCAAATACCAACAAAATCAGAGTAAATAATTATAGTATTTATAAAATATTTGCATCAGTAATTTGCAAATAACAGAATAGTTTTATATGTTTGATTAATCAATCATATATTTATGTTAAGATAATTTATTATGGAAGGTGATTACTGATAGTGTTAAAGAATCTTAAAAATTGCTGACTTGAATGTTTTTTATCAGCATTTATTTTATTACAAACATTTCTTATATCTGAAATGAAACTAGTCGTATTGGTAGTATATCAATACTGAATATCTAACTTTAATGTATATATTTTACAATTATTTACCATTTTGCAAAAACATAGAATCTCATATTTTGTTTTATGTAAATAATAAACAGTAGCATAATAATATGTGGGTTTTACTTCAATTGTTTGAACTGCATTTTACGAAATATTTTTTACAGGAATTTAAGAGTATTTATTCTTTGGAAGCAAGCCTTTTTATTTTAACCTACCTCAAATATTCTTATAGGTTTCTATTTGAATTATCTTTTGCAATTAGTTTCTGAAAAATATAATTTAACCCAATAATTCAAAGAACAGATTTATTGTAAAATTATAGAACTCATTTATTATGTTCTATTTATTATGTACAATTTAAGAGCATCATCACGATAAAAAAAATACTTAAAAGTATATTTTACATCTACTAATTTAAAAAAACTAACATATATAGATAATATGTCTATCACAATCTTAGCTTTTGAAAGGTACTCCTTAGAGCATCTCCACTTCGCCCATATATAATTTTAAACTATGAAATAACATTTCATATAATTAATGCATTAAATTAACCTTTACAATTATATGAATAATCATAAATTCATATATATGTGTAAATATTATTAATCACATTTCATTGATATCTTAAAATATAAAAATTATGAGACTTTGTTTTAAATTGTCCATATTGTATTCAGCTCATATAAAACAAATTAAAATAAATTAAACTAAACAAAGTTCTTTTTCTGATAAGTTCAGATTATAAATGCAGTAAGAGTTCATTAGGAATTAAGGCCCTGCCCTAATTCAATTATTGGGATTCTTTCTTGAATATTCCACAAAATCTTTAAACGCCTGTTGCATTTCAGCTCCTAGTTCATTGTCCGGGTCCCACAAAGTATCATCATCAACTTCAGCCTTCGAATTGTCGTTAAGATTACAGTATAAAAAGGAAGTTTCCTCAGCAGTCAACACTTCCCCATCTGGTCCATAATAGACTGTATCATCGATATCAGTAATTTCCGAGTTGTACTCCGAATATCCAATGCATTCGGCATCACCACTAGCTCCCGGGTCACTTTCTTGGCTGTCACCACTATCAGACACGTAACCCCACCCACTACTAGAAAGATTTAATACACTTTGAATTAGTATTGATGTTTTGGACTTGTTGTCCGTCATCTTGTGTTTAAGGTCCTTAAGTAAGCGTTCCATAAGTTTAGGGCAAGCTAAATGCATATAATAACCACTTAGCTTCAGTGCTTGGCAGACTGCCTTGATATTATTCTCTTGGCTAAAATTCAAATTGATCACATCAGTCATAGTCTGAAATATTAACTCCATGAACTCTACTAAGTCTTTTAATGGCAACTTTCTCTCGCGAACAAAATTGTAGAGCAATTCACAGCAAGTGGTAACCAGTCCTACCATAAATGAAGAATCTTGAGACTTATCTGTGTCTTTTCTATATTGTAGATACAAATGCCCACACTGTTCAATAACCATTTGATGGAATTTGGGAGCCGTTTCATCAACGAGTGCACAAAGCCTAGCGCAACTGTACTGGAAATGTGGTCGTTTTACTGCTTCAGTAACCGCAAGCTTTGTAAGTCTGTCTAACATCATAGAGTCATTTGCACCTATAGCAGCTATCTCCGCTACAGTCGCCCTTACACTATCAAAGTTGGCGCTACTCGCCTGGAGCTCGTCCATTATATGAATAAATTTAGTTACGGGGTTTGAAGCAGTATCCGAAGAGCCCAAACCTCTGCGCCCAACTTTTAGCCGGTCAGATATCGACGATTTGAAAGGGCGAGGGCTATAGTAAGGCGAGTCTCCAGCTCCAAAATTATGCTGAAGATGGCTAACTGGCGTAAACACAGTATTGTCCCTTGGGATGAACTCCTCAGCAAATGGTGACAGCGTAGATTGCGCTGCCAAAGACTGCGCACTGGCAGAGCAGCCCATGTCAGGACGATAGTCTGACGCTGCTTTTTTGCCGACCAAATGTCTGGGAGCTCTAATTTGACTAGCGTGTCTGGGCGGCTCGACTTGCCTTGCACTTTCAGTTCTAGTATTATGCATGCGTAAATGGGATGGGGGTGGTGCGCGCGGGTATCTAATTGATGGAGCCCTAAACTCTCTTCGCTCTGCTTCGCTATCATCATCCTTAACCTTCCGTGAGTAAGCAGATTTATCTTCAGTGTCACTCATCTTGTTCACCTAGCGAGTAAAGTTTCTCGTTACAAATATCGTCAAACAAACATGTCACGTGAAAAACGAATTATCTATTTAGTATTGAAATAAGTAGTAAATGGCTAATCTATTACACATACACAATGGAATTCAAATGAAAAAAATAAAGTGCGATGGCTTACTAGTATATATGTAAGTTTACATACCTACTGTCATTCACTACTTTAATGTTGAATTATTTTAAACCGAAATGTGGTTACCGTATTTTATTTACAGTTAACAAAATAACTATCTTCGATTATATCAAGAAACAAAACACAACTTGCGCTTGTGATCAGATGCACGTAACCATAATAATTGTACAAGGAGATCAAACATCTAACTTGCTTGCAAGTGGCAGAGAATAAATTTCGCTACCAACCTTGTAAAAACATGTCAATAGCATGAATTTAGTGACATAAGAAAATTTCCTAAGGCGGATATACATCGGTGTATGAAAATTATGACAAGAGGATAACAATTAACGAGCGATTAATTAGTGAATTATAACTAGTTGAACAAATAAAAGCTACAATCCTTAGATATTACTTTCGAAGATAAGCAAAACTGTAAAACTAACAAAAACTTGTTTGAACTTACATCGAACTGAAAATTTACAAAATGTTCAATTGAATTCATTTATTGAATAAATATTCATTTAGCCAATGAATCAAATTTTATATTATACTCTTCCTTTGTCTATGCTAAGAACTTATATTTGTGCAAAATTAGATACTGTTTGTATAAATGAAATTTAGAATTGAATTAAGCAGAAAATGGCTAAATTATTAAACACACACAATGGAATATCGAATAAAAAAATAACGTGCAAAGTCTTTTTTCTAGTTACATACCTTCTGATAATAACTAAACAAACTTGTGATTAGTTTATACCGAAATGTAATTCTACACGTTTGTTGATATCACTAACTTTGATTATTAAGTATATTATATATACGATTGTAAATAAAACACCACTTGAGCTTGCAATCAAATGCACATAACCAAGGAGAGTTATTTCCGAACAAATGTAATATTTATGTATATTTATCAATGCACGTAACCATGATTATTGAACAAGGAGATCAAAAACATCTATCCATAGATAAAAGATGAGTATAAAAGATAATCTATCTTGAAGTGACACAGAGTAAATTTCGCTACCAACCTTGTAAAAACTTGTCAATTGCATTAATTTAGCGACCTAAGAAAATTTCCTAAGGCGGATATACATCTGTATATGAAAATTTTGACAAGAAGAAGATAACAATTAACTATTAGCGAATCAAAGCCTTTTATCTCATTTTTATTCACAAAATTTTTGAAATAAATGACAAAAGTTAGAGTTTAACAATAATTAAAAGATAAGCAAAACTGTAAAACTAACAAAAATTAGTTTGAACTTACATCGAACTGAAAATTTACAAAATATTCAATCAAATTAATTTATTCTAAATACTAAGAACCATTAAATAAAAAATTATATTATCCTTTTCTTCTATCATTGCTAATAACTTATAGTTGCGCAAATTTTAAGCACGAACTGTCGGTGGCGAAATCTTTGCATTAGCCATGTTTGACAATTTAGAGCTTTCAAAATATTTACTTTGTTACCTTAGTTAAATAAAGAATATATGCGGTTGTACTTATTATAGACTATTTACGTCGAAACAGAAGTTATATATTGTTTGTAAAAAATGAATTTAAAATTGAAGTGGACAATGGCTAAATTATTAAACACATACAATGGTATTTCGAATGAAAAAATAATGTGCCATGTCTTTTTTTTTAGAATATACATAAATTTACATACCTTCTGATACTAAACACACAAAAGTTCAATTAAAGCACACGGAAATGTAATTTCTATACTTTCTTGAAGTCACTAACTGCGATTATATTAGAAAACAAAACACCTTCGTTTGTGAAAAAATGCACGTAATCATAATCATTGAACAAGGAGATCAAACATGTACCCATAGACAAAAGAGTGTATAAAAGAGGATCTACCTTTCAAGTGGCACAGATTAAATTTCGCTACCAAACTAGACAATAGAATGAATTTAGCGAGATAAGAAAATTTCCTAAGGCGGATATACATCGGTGTATGAAAATCGTGACAATAAGAGGATGACAACTATCAGCCAATCAAAGCTTCCCCATTTATATTCGCAAAATTCTTGAAATAAATTGCATTAATAATAGTCGAATGAAAAAAGCTACGATCCTTGTTAGATATTAATTTCGAAGATAAGCAAAACTGTAAAATTACCAAAAACTTCAAACTGATAATTTACGATACTATATTCATATAAATTCATTTATTCTTAGTTGTAAGTGAAATTTTTGGATCAGCCATGTTTGATAGTATTAAGGCTTTCAGAATATTAACCTTGTTACCTTAGTTGGAAGAAAAATACATGCGGCTGTACTTATTATAGACTATTTATGTCGAAACAGAAGTTATATATTGTTTGTGTAAATGGAATTTAGAATTGAAATAAGTGGACAATGGCTAAATTATTAAAC